ATGAAAGAAATTTATTCGAAAAATAAATTCAACAATTTTGTAAAGAATTCAATATTCTATTCAGTGACATCAAAATAAAAATTTTAAATTAGTTTTTAACATCTTAAAAATAAAAAATAAAAGTGGTTTATCGATTATGAGACGATCGTTACTTTAAATGTAAATCAAAATTATACAATGAATAATTTGAATTCTATTCGTTTACGGTTAAACGAATGATTCTATACATACATATATATATATATATCGAGGGTACATAATATTAGTCCATTTATTATTCATTCTTTACTATCTTCGTGTGTACATCACAAGTAAAGTGTGTTAATCATATAACACAATCCTGTCGTCTGTTTTGTTCATTATATCATGAAATGAAATCTATTGTTTTTTTTTGTATTTGGAAATAATGTCAAATTCAGGTTCTAATTTATTATCATCAACTAATAAATGGCATTCAACAGCAACACATACTTCATCTTCAATTACAACTGCACATGGTTATCGTCATCGTCCATCGATTCCTTTATCAGATATTTCAGCAAATATGAATACAGCAGCGATGACAACTTTTTCAAGAAAATGTGTTTATGTTAAAGAAGGTTGAATTATATTTCAAATAAATATAATGTAAACTATTTTTCTTTTTTTGTTTTTAGTTATTAGTGTTAATAATAGTGCAGCACATTTACCATTAGTATCATCAGATAATAGTAGTGCAAGTGAATGTGAAAGTGGAGAATTAAGTTCAGATGAATATCCATCACAAATTAAACTTAAACCTAAATCAATTATTTATTATCAAGAAAATCTTTCAGATCCAACATATGAAATGGGAACATTAGCACAATTACTTAATCATTCATTTTCTGGTCATAAAGATATATCAATGGCATCTCAAAAGTTTGTATATATATATTTTTTTTTTTTCGATTTGATGAAATCAGGATAAAAATTTAGACACACTTCCGCATAGTTCGTGATAGAAGTAATCATGAGAATATCAGAGGTCGTACATCAATAACATCTCGTTATAATTAATGAACTACTTCCTTACTGCATCTCTGGAGGATATGTGTGCGAAAATAGATAGAATATAACAATCTTTCGGTGATTAGCAATAGCAGTTGCATGGTGTTTCACATTTTAATCCCACAAGGATTGTGTTAATAGTTTTTTTTTTTGAGAACCGAAAGGATTTTAAGAGTTTTAAAAGCCAGAAAATAATATTGACTTCATTGTTAAGATTTTTAGCTCAAATTCCTAAAATCTAAGCATATTTTGACGAAAATATATCAATTGAAGTTCTAATGGTTTGAGAAATTAATCGACATTCTGTTTGATTGATCAAATATAATTAAGGTTATGCCCTTCCCTTTCATGTGGTAATTGTATAGTCTGAAGTAGTATCGAAAAGATTGTCTTTAAACATTAAAAAATTAAATTTATGTGGCAAAAATAACGAATCATGTTTTTGTCAAACCAAATTTTTCATGAAAAAAAAAAGTAGAAATGCCTCCGTATCTCCGACCTGCTACGTCCGATTGAATTGAAACTTTTTTCATCTATACTATACACTCTTTAAGATCGGTATTGGTTCTTTTTTTTTTTTATTTCAAAAAATATTGTTCTACTGATTTTTAGTAGAAGGAACAATAATTT